TAAATACCAATAAACAAGATCAACAAATATTTTGGAGCGCACTTCCACAAGCTACTAAACATATATAAATATGATAAATAAATATAAATTAGACTCAAATTAGATTAAATATGTTGTCACTGTCAAAACCTAGCAAAGCTAAATAATTGTTTTTTTCGATTATGTTGTTTTTGTAATTGTGGCAGGCCAAAATCGTAGTTGCGATTAAAATATGATTAATTGCACAGCCCGAACACACACACAAGCACACAGAGACACACACACATACACACTTTTTGGCTAACACAGTTCTGTGCTGTTATGTTCAGTTATTGTTCTTATGTTGAACATGAATACATTTACTTTGTAAGTAATATGGGACGTATTTCTTCTTTCATAGCAATTTTCCTTCATACTTTCTTGCTGTGAAATAGGTCTTAAAAGGGTCTTAAAAAGTCTTAAATTTGAGTTCGCGAAACCTGCAGGAACCCTGGATAGAGAACTGATTCCCATCTGAACTATAAGTGACCAAAAGAGAAAGCACATTATTCACTCCACTTCCCCCTCTTTTTCTGTACCTGTCTTTGTCTGCTATAACAATGTCCAGTTGTTTTGTTCTTTTGACCTTTGCTCTCCCCATCTTGTCTCTTGTACACATTAGTTGTTATATTTTCTCACAGTTTCTGTTCCTAAAAGATTTTAAAAATCCAGTTTTTGTTCCCTCTTTGGCTTAAACCTTATGAAAGTCAACACAAAAAGTCTCGTAGTTCACTCCAATAAAGCAGAAGAGAAACAGACAGCATGATGATTAGTTAAGGTCAACATTTGATTATGTATTTTCTTTGTTTGTCTTATTGTGCAGACATTTGTTTTTCATGTGCAACTCTAAATACTTGATTAATTACTTTTTTCCTTTACAGCAGTGTATGCAAATCCGACTCTGTGATTTCTTTGTCCTGTTCAGGTGAGTCTTATTTTTAGAAAATCTACCATTGTCACTAACATTGTTTACAGTTTGTTTTAAGAAGGCAGAGTATGTCTCATGGCTGAAAATCACATGGTTGTGGGAGCAGTTTGGCTCAACAGGCCTACACATGTCTAGACGGCAAAACTCTTTCCTAGCAACATATCACTGTTTTTTATTCTTTGCAACAAAAAAAGGTTGTGAAATAATAAGAAACTACCAGTCTAACCTGACCTTGACAGTTTGAATAATACGATCTAGATGAATTAACCAACAAAGGCATAACATAAAAGTTAAGTTAGAATGGACTACAGTGAAGAAAACATTCTTAAATTAACAAGACAACTTTGTTTATCAGACTGTGGAGAGGTGGGCTTTCAGGACCGTGTTGTCGGGGGTTCAGATGCTTTCATTGAGGACTGGCCCTGGCAGGTTAGCTTGCAACAGGGAGGCCAACACTCATGTGGAGGCTCACTGGTGTCCCCACGTTGGGTTATCACTGCTGCCCATTGCTTCACTGGGTCAGTATGAGTTCCACATGTCCAATGAATTTCCTTTGTGGTTAATATGTCATACATAAACTTATACTCACACTTTCTCCTTGTTTTCTTTTTTGGGCCCTGCAGCAGTAAAAAAGAGCTGAGTCGCTGGAGAGTGGTGTCAGGCCGGACATACATAGGCACACTAGGAGGTTCCTATGTGGACAGAATCATATTAAATGCAAACTACGATCCAGCACGAAACGACTACGACATTGCAATGATGAGACTCAGCAGCCCGATATCAGTGGGAGGTTAGAGTTTAATTAAATACTTAAAAAATATGGATTTGATTATGTATTGCTATATTGGTTAAGTGACCTTGTAAAGTCTGTAGCTATTCCAAATTGCCCTCTAGTGATGTACATTTCAAGCTCTCCACCTTACAGTAGATCAAATTCAGCCATTGTTATCAACACTACATGTATGACAGGAACAAATGGTAACAAACCTTAAGGCTTACATTTGAATGCATTCCCCCTGTTTTTCAGTGAGCCGCAAACCGGTTTGTCTACCTCCTAAAGCATTTAGCCTTCCTTCCCAAGCCTCCATGTCTGTGACTGGCTGGGGATACCTGGAGGAAAAGGGTGAGAAACCTACTCACTTCCTCTCATCATTATCAACCGCCACTCTGTGAACAAGAACTTCTCTTATCTTTCGCTAAAACCCAAAAGTTGCATCGTATTCTCCCTTTAGGTAAGGTTTCTCCTACACTTCAGAAGGCCTCTATCCCTCTGATAGAGCGGCGGAAGTGTGCCAGCCCTAAGGTGTATGGGAGTTCAATAACCCAAAGAATGATCTGTGCTGGTTTCCTGGATGGGGGAGTGGATGCCTGCCAGGTAACGGACCACTGATTCAAGTCAGAAACGATAACGCTTAAGAATTTAAAACACAAATAAGAATATTTTGAGTTATACTTCTATAGTTTTGTACATGTTGCAGTTTAAAGAATGGTCAAATATTGACGTTCTCTACTGGCAAATTGTTTGGATATTCAGAGATGAGATAACATTTTATTGTTCTGTAATGACTCCCAGGGGGACAGTGGGGGTCCTTTGGTGTATTTCACCTCCTCTCAATGGCATCTGGTTGGAGTGGTGAGCTGGGGGGTCGGCTGTGCACGGGAGAGAAAACCAGGTGTCTACTCCAACGTCGAAGAAATGCTAAACTGGATTCGAACAGTAGTTGAGGTAAAGAATATACGTTTCTGTGTTAAGTCAGGTCAACTTAACTTTCTAAAATATAGTAAGTGCAATACATACAAAGCCTGCCCTAATGATTTTTACTTTCTTCCTCTAGAAAAACCCCTGAGGTCTTCTGATGTGTTGAGCAAGACTCCAGTCAAGTCTGCCTTGGACAGCCTGTGAAACTCAAAGACATTTTTTGTTTCAGTGTGGTTGACTAAAGAGGGTAGAAAGAAGGAAAGAAAGTCAAAGATCAACACAAAATAACTGTTTTCAGCCAAATGCAAAAACACTACACACACACACACACACACACACACACACACACACACACACGGTTTCACACAAAATGTATTTCAGGTGTTTGTGCCATTTCAGGTTCTTATCTCAGGGGAAAAGTATATGTATGTTATGTGTTGCTGGCTAGTCTGAAATGTTTTTTTTAAATCAACGATCTAGTCATTTGACAGACCAAATGTGCTGATTATGCGTTTTTAAATAAAGTTGGTATCAAATGTGAATATATTTGACCACTGGTTTTGACAAAAGGACTTAGCAATAACTGTTCAAACTCTTGTAATTGTGTAGAGTTTGGACCTCACCAGACTGGCAGACCTCAGACATAATGTACTTGATTACTATGTGCTATGATTTTCGTTTTGCTATCTGTTATGATGGGTTTATACAATTAATGGCAATAGGCGACAGACAGGGTAAACCTGTTCCAAGTCCAGCAGAAGTCAGTGTGTCAGGTTATGTCACCAATATAAGTGATCACGTTTATGGTGCTTATTCAGTTGATCTGATGGCTGTCCCTTAACGCACCTTTTTACAGCATTGACATGTGCTTGCATTCTTCTTACAGATTGTTTTCCATGAGCACTTTAATTGAAAATTACTTGAATATGTATGCGCATATCATTTAATTGACTAATAATGCACTAAAGACTGTAACTCTAACCACACTGTTGCATATTCATGGTGCTGCTGCACCGAGTTTCAAAGTGCAATCGGATATCCAGCATGCATTAAGAAAACTCAAACAATGGCCAGATTTAAGTGGTGGCCAGAGATGTATGCCTTTACAGTAAAAGGATATTGGTGTAAATTCATTAGAGCGAGCAATAGAGATAAGTATGTAAATGTGTGCATTCAGGAAAATAATTAAGTATTTCTATGTTTTAAATCCATAATCGAGTTGTTGCAAAGCAAAACAATGCATCTGCCTTTTATTTTTGAAATATTTATCCTTTCTTGTCTGAGACATGCACAAAAAATAGTATAAATCGGCACAGAATTTTAAAAGCAATAGTTTACATATTGTATTTTACTGTAGGATAGGAATAGCTTTTCTTGTAAGGTTTGGTGGTTGCCACAGTGGATAATAATATTTGACTGTATATATGGTACTTTTTGTTGATTATTTTTTATACCTGTAAATAGGTTGTACATATAATAAAGACTTTCTTCTTCAACCTGGCATTCCGAAAGATTGCTTTATCACACAATTAACTTGATATTTTGTATGAATATCACCTTGTGCCTTGACTTTGTTAAAACGCCCCCTTGTGGAGAGAATGTTATTTTTCGTGTTGGACCATTTTCCACATGCTACTGATCCAACTAGCCTGAACTCTCACATAACCAAATTGTATAGCTTGATAAACTATTTTAGAACGTTTTTACTATGACTTCTATGATGAAAAAGACACACAACATAATGAATAAAAAAGGAGGACAAGGTGATTATGTATGAAAAAACATTTATAATTTCCTGAATATCAGAGTACTACAAAGGCCTAATGGCAAAAACCAAGTGCAGAATACGCATAGCAAGTCTGGTCTGAAAGCCATCAACACATTTCTCCCTATAGCATTTAGCCTAGCTCTTTCACCAAAGCAGATTGATTGGATAGTTTTATCCTTGCAGTATCTGTTCAATTAAATTATTAATTGTCAACGTTAGAAAGAATGAGTGCTGAGAACATTGAAACATGAACTTTAAAGTCCTTCAGAACAACTCTGTAGCAGCTCACTTGATAATTAGCATGTAGAGATTAACAAGTGTACATATAAGATGCATGCATGGTTATCTCCGTGAACGACTGGGGCCTTTGAATGGGTCATCCTGTATTAAAAAAAAAGAAATGGAGAAGAAAAATTATTAAAACATTTGCCAAAATAAGATAATCAGATACAATCAAGTACATTTTCAGTGCGTTAATACAACATGGCTTTTGCTAAGCATGTAACACAAAATTCTAGGGGTGCACCGAATGGGAAATTCTTGGCCGAAACCGATACCGAAAATAGGAAACAGTTGGCCGAAAAACGAATGCCGAAAATGATTAATAGAAATATATATATATGTAATGTATACATTTTTTACCAATGTTGTTCAGCTACCTGATTATGGAAAAAGACATGATTATGGCAAAACTTAACTTAAATAATAATCACTATCCATAAAACATTTATTCAGCACTTTTGAATGCATACAGTACATTAATTCCAAGTCAAGTGCATTTTCTTTTCTCTGTAGGATAACTACAACAAAGTGCATTCAGAACAAAGCCAAGGTGCTTTAAAACTGCATAAACATCTAGGCCAGTAGGCCTACAACAAAATAGTGTAAATAAAGACTGTAACAGCCAGGCCTTCAACAACAACAAATGCACCTATAAGTTTGGTAACCTAACGTGTTGTTGTGATGACGTAATCAAAACGCGGCGACAAGCACGGCGCGCGACCATGCTCGCGGCTGGCTCACAGCCAACATGTCTGCTGCTTGGAGATATTTCAAAATATCAGAGAAAGAGCCGCGGATTGCGATTTGTAAAACGTGTTCAGCTGACATTTCTCGAGGGGGTGTAACTGCAAAGACTTTCACCACTTCGGGATTACCCCACCACTTGAAATCAAAACACCCGGACAAATATGCGGAGTATGATCAACGTAACCCTGTTCTCCGAAAGCCGAAAGGGCCTTTTTAACCATTTTCGGCCGATAATTTTCGGTGGCCGAATATTCGGTGCATCCCTACAAAATTTCATTCTTCATCATTACAAAACGCACCCCAGCACTCATGATACAGGCTACATAATCTTCTCTGATCTCTTCTTACCTCCTCATCATCACTGTCGTCAAATGCAACTCCTTTAGTTGAGTGGCTCTGGCTCTGAGAGCTCAACTTGGTGAAAGATGAAGATGATGATGCTGGTCTGTGGTGAGCAAGAGAAGAAGCCATGGTAAAATATGCGAGTCAAAAACACATCACACATTTTTAAATATGAAGTTAGCGACAGAGAAGGTGAATGCAGTATAAACAGCCATGTGTCTGTACAGGTTTCTTAATGTATTCCACTGGCACATTGTAGATACCTTGGAGGAGCGCTGGTTGTTTTCATTACAGGAATATCCTCATCTGAGTCCTCGATGGTCACCTAGAGAAGAACACAAATGAGAAGTAAAGTTGGAGGATGATGCAGTTGACATACTGTACGAGTGTGTGTAACTAGGGATTCATTTACTTCATCTGCATAGGATTTGTTGGCTCCAGGTCGAGATGATCTTTGGGATGGAGATTGAAATGCTGAAAAATAAGAAGAGAGACACGTTGAAGTCCAGGAAGGAATTGAAAGATGAGGAATGGGTTACAGAAGAAAACTAATTTATAGTTTTTTTTTCCAAAAGTATAGAAGATTCCTGTGATGCCTAGTTTTGGCATATCAGTGTTTTTTACAGAATATGAACTTGTGTTTCTTTCTATAGATCATCACACTCACACACACATCTCACACTCCCCTACCTTGCATAATACTCCTGCTTTGGGTTGCTGCTGAAGATTTCTGGGCACGGCCCCGACCAGCTGGCTTTGGTTCGGAGGCAGCTGCACCTGGATGGATGGATAGACACTTATGGACAAGGATTCCTGATGCACTGCACTTTATGATTGGTGTTATGATTCAAATTTCTTTGGGATAGTGGTGGTCTAATGGGTAGTGAGGTGGGCTGAAGATTGGAAGGTTGTGAGTTCAAATCCCGCCAGGAACACCACCCTTTTGTGTGCCCTTGAGTAAGGCACTTAGCCATTAGTTACTCCAGGGAGAATGTCCCTGTAATTGGTAATTGTAATTCGCTTTGGCTAAAAGCGTCAGCTAAATGAAATGTAATGTCATTTGTTTCACTGTCTCATTTAAGAGGTATATACTATTTAAAGAGCATTGTTTTAACTGTTTGTTGATAATCCGAAGACACAAACATCTCGTGTGCAACTGACCTGCCAAAAAAATCTTTAAATGAGGACTTTTCCCTAATTTGAACACCCAGGTTCACTAGAGAAAGTGTGCTACATGGTCTGAATCATTTTGTCTTCCCTCTGCTGGAGTTTAAGGTGTGACTGAACAGTTCTTATGTTGTTAATTTAAGTGAGTCGCCAGCACATATTCTTAGATTATTTTATCAAACGTTACGAATCCATAGATACTCATTATAGTCTGTGCTGAATTTAACATTCTAAAAATGCTATTCTTGTTATATGTAATACCTGTACCTGTCAGAGTTATTAGATTGTGTATTAGTTAACCAACATACTAGCCAATATCTCATGTATCCTCCAATGTCAGCTGAGTCTATCCATCATAAATAAACATTCTAATTAACTGGTCTTTATTATTTTCTTTTCCAATTACCTACTGTGAGCATTAGCATTGGTTATTAGGCATATTTCTCCATTGACCTTAAACATAGAGTCTGGTAGGCATTCTGGAGACTAAAATCTTGATGAAACATTTTTAACAACATCTATTTAGTACTGTGAATCTCTGGGCCTTTGGTTGTGACAGATAACACATCAACTCACCTCTGCCCCTTCCCCGGCTCCCCCGCCCCCTCGCTCCTCGCCCTCTGCCTCGCGTTGGGGGAGCTAATGGGGCCGCGTCTTCATCAGATTCCAAAGCAAGGTCAACAGACATATCTACAGGCATCTCCCCACGCTCCAAACGGTGAGCTTTAGCTCTGTTGATAGCCTGAGAGATAAAGCACATACAATTAAACACAACCAGTCAGCACAACACTTTAGGCTTATGTGAAATATTTACTTACTTCTTTGATTTCATTCTCTTCCTCGGTGGTGTTCTTTTTGGAGTCTCTGAATCGCTGGATCTGAAAATGTAAAAAACAAGCACTCTTATAATGACGTAGACCATCACCTCAGCCTTCCCTAATTCTTATGCAAGCCCCCACCCCTCACCTCCAGGTCTATGTCCTGCTCCGTGGTTACTCCTCTGGCTTGGAGGTGGCGCTGTGTCTTCTCTAACTGGTAGGTGATCAGCTCCTCAATGGCGTCTTTCTCATCTTTGTCCACAAACTCCTGAATTGCCTTCCCCATGCCATGCTCGGTCAGGAGGGACAGCTGCACGTTCTGAGAAGATAAGCACACGCTTTTTTTTAAAGAATACTGAGAAAAAGTAGATGAAAATTAAAGTGTTATGGCACCCTGTAAGTGTGTGAATGTAAATCCATGTGTGGCAGTACCTGTTCGGTTGCCTCAAAGTACTGTTTCACCAGGTCCTCCACCCTCAGACCCTCAACTGCTGTGGTTTTTAACAGTTTGCCGTAATCCACATTGACCTCATCTGAAAAGCACAAAGATTAAAGCATGTTACATTTACGAAACTCTGCATCTACGAATGCAGTATACCAGCGGTTCCCAACCGTTTTCAACTCAGGGCCCACTTAAGAATCTAAAAATGTTTGCGGCCTACATTCAACCATAAACAATACGGAAGCTAAATAAAGTTCTGATTGGTCAATTCAGAACATGTGACACGTTGTTAATCCAGTAGTACAGACCGCTGTTAAGGACCGCAATGACCGTTGCTACGGAGGAACAAGAAAGATAAAGGAAAGAAGGTTTATAAAAAAAAAAATTAAAAAAATTAAAATTAAAATTTCCACACAAATCATAATGTTTTGCAAATTATTTGGCGGCCCACTTGCAATGCCCACAGGTTGGGAGCCGCTGGTGTGTACTGTAGATCCACAGCTGTGTGTGTGTCAGACCTTTGTTATCCTCCTTCTGTTCACGGCGTCTGAGAAAGTGGATGACGTCTTTTGGGTTGGCAACGCGGTCCACAAACTTCTGACTGAAGCGAGAAGTGTTGAACGCCTCAAAGCCTCCGCTGTAGTCCACCTGAGGAAGGCAGTGAAGATGATGCATTTGTGTGTACTGCAATAGGAATGTGTGTGTAAACTTTGCAAAAGTGTCCATCTTACCCTCAGACGAATAAGAGGTTTCTCTGGTGTGAGCGGACAACCAAGCCTCTCTCTTTCTGCTTGTTCCAACATCTCTGTGACCTACCAAATGACAGAAAGAATATTATAAGACGACACATGAGGGGAAATTAGAGTAAGAGCTGGTTCTGTACATTTGTTGGTGACTTTTAGGGTTACCTTTGCATAGCACAAGTCCTCCACCTTCTTTGTGACCTGGGGTGTGTCCGGTGTAAAGATGTCTTGGTAGTCAGCCAACACCACGTCTTGGATGAAGAACTGACGCACCGTGTCGAGGGGGATCTTTTGCATGTTCATCTTACGACCCTTCACCCTCAGCAGCCCTATGTGTCTAGAGCCACACAAACAGAGTGTCATGGTTACTTCATTGTTCTTATACACATTGAGAGTATACTATCCAGTAAGTGTGTTTCTGTGTGTATTCATGTGTACTTCTTGGCTGCCTCTCCAGGGGACAGAGAGGTGGCTACAGAGCTGCCAGGCTGTGTCACATAGAAGAGCTGCTGTTCATTCCTGGTTGGAGCAATCAAACACTCATGCTCGTGGCCCCACACCACCAAGTCAATAAAGTCATCCAGGAACTGCTCAGGGATGTAGTTAGTGGGACCGTGCTTACTCCTACAGAAGACACAGAAGAAGAAAAAACACGATGTAGAGTAATATAGGAAAAGAATGCTGTTTTAATACTTAAACCACTAACAGGTATTGTATTTGAGAGATAATACAGTAAAGGAAAACGAAATGAATGAAAGCCTACATATTTTCACCTTCTTAAAAATAGTTTTTTCTTACCACACAAGTCCTGCATTATCACGAAGTGCTACGTTACAGATTTAAAGTAAGCGATATGTAAAACATCTGTAATACTGTGACTTTTTCTGTGGTTATTCTAAGATGTACAGCTTTTTGCTCTGATTGAAACCTTCCAACCACATACACATGCACACACCTGTTCTGGTGGATGGTGAAGAGATTAAACCACTCATCTTGGTCTTCTTTGGGGCGAAGCATGGTTACCTGTTTGTTAACGAACATCCTGTACAAGCGCTCATCTGGGATAGAGCCTACACACACAATTATACATAATTAAGACCAAAACATGAATCATTTCAATAATGTTTGAAGAACACAGAAATAGACTACATGAGGTGTATATATTACTAGTCCACCATGATACATATTACAAACACTTACCAAGACCAAATAGGGCTAGCTTGGTGATTCCTTTCTGCATGAGGATGGGACTAATCTCTATCTTTTCCACTGAATGGGAATGACCAAAGTGATTGACAAGACCAGACGCACTTATCAGATCCAACGCACACAAGCCTTCAGCCTTGAGGGAAATAAAGTGAAAATAAAACAAACAACTTTAAATGGGTACAACAAAAAATACACACAAATATTCACGTCTTATGTCAAATAATTGTTTACTATTAATGCTGGACACAAAACTCACCCCAGTTGGGTCATCATGATTACCGTGAATGCTGAACGCAGGAATAGAGATGTTCAGGTTTTCATCCTGATAGTTAACCCATGGAAAACTTAAACACACATATAACAACGTTAATGTAACTAGAATACAGGGTTTTGATAAAATTATCTTTCAAACGAAGCAGTACTGACTGGGTTGTGTTAAAGTTGACCTTCTGGTCACTGAGAATGTTGAAGTTTATGGGTTTGTCTCCCATGCAGTATCGTCTAAGCATTGTGATGCAGGTGTGGAGGCATCGTCGTGACGGTTTGTTCTCATGGAACAAATCACCACCCAGCAGGATGAAATCTACCTGCAGGCAAACAAAGGAGTAGGAATGAGCAGTGTGCTTTGAAAACAGGTGGACTTTTTTAGGGCTATTCGTCTGAGATATACAATAATCTGATGTAATGTTGAGTCATATACACATCTATCAACTCTTGTATGTACCTGATTTGTCTTGGCAGATTTTAAGATTTCTTCCAGTGTGTTAAAAGAGTCATTGCCACGGATAGCATCCTTCTCGAGGTAACCGAGGTGAATATCTGTAGCAATAAGGATCTTAAAAGTATCCTCATCATCCCTAGTAAAAAGAAATACACACGTACAACCATTACAACACACAGCTCATAGATTGTTTGTTCATCGGCACACCATTTCAAAAGCCAGCAAAATCTCCATATATTTGTTTAGGCAAAGTTAAACAAACTCACAAGGTACTCTCTGAGGACATGGTGATGTGGGAGATGAGATGTCACTGTTGAAAGGCTGTCAGCTAAAGGTTCCTTCTGCAGAAAACACACATGCAAAATAAAAAATATTCTAAGACACATTTTAGGCATGCTACAACAATATCACAAGTATTATTTGTGCAAATAATATGTTGATTTTTAAGGAGATCATATACATTCCACTGATGTCACAGTGATAAGGTAAGTAATGAATAATTAACAAACCATCAGCTTTTCCCTGAGAAGTAATACAGAATACGCATATTTGTGATGTTTACATCGTGCTCACCGACTATTCACTTTACGATACGATTTACAGTCAGAAATGATTGTGTTATACTCTTGAGATAGCTAGCTAGCTAATTATCATATAGTAAAATCGTAGCTAACAGCAATATAGTAAGTCAAGTTTACGTTAGCTTTCACTTTTCCTAGAGAACTTACGAGTGCAAGCTCTCAATGTAATGGGAGAATGTTACAATGTTAGCTTGTGTTTATAGGTCTTAACTTACATTTGGTTAGATAATTATTTGTCCTTGCTATTGCTACAACGTGTAAGAAACACTTGTTGTAACCCACCTCCTCATGAGCCTGTAAACATGCCAGAAAATCCCGGGAAGTCTTGCTGCAAACCCTGTCCCCGCCTCCAAGAGATGCCTAATGGTTATTGTAGTTTCATTTGAAATGATCGCCTTTCTCAAATGCAGAATCTCCGCTGTTGAAAAACTACACTTCGGGTAAGCAAATAAGAGCGTTTGTTTTACTACTCAGGTCGCGCCGGTCTGACCTTCTCTCAATAATAACGGATGTTCAGCACCTGACGGACCGAGCTGGTATGTAAATCATTCACACCCATCAGAAACCCTGGATTGTGTTGCCTGTCAAGTGATGTTTTATTTTCCCAACCCATATTAGTACTGGCAGCCATATAATCTGCGTTTAGCTAGCAGGCTGTTAATCGTTATGCATTTGTTTTGCCTTTAACTATAATTTAAACTAGCTATTTTACTACGTGGTTTGCATCAGCGACAGCGAGAGGAAGTGGATTGGCTGCATTTCAATGGAGACGCTGTCAAAAACACTCGGTGCTGATGCTACGCGGGAGAAGGTAGCTTTATCGTTACTACACTTAACACTCATTTTAAATACTCTTATAATGAAGCGTTAAAACTGTGAGCCACCGTTTATGGTGAGTTAGATGGATCATGGACTATAAAAGTAACCTAGCAGCAGTTGCTACAACTCAGTCCAGCTGATGTTGCAGAACTAGAAAGTGTGCTGAAGTGTCAATGTGCAATATATTTGACTTGAGCAGGGCAAAATCATATTGTAGTTTTAGTGGAAGCTGGAGCATGACAATACAAGTTTGAGCTCATATTTACTTCCCTATTGTCTATTTATTTATTATTTGCTGGTCATTGATCACATGCTACTCTCACTGCAATATAGAACTATCCCTCATTGAAAATATACTGCAGAAATCTACAATATTTGCCAGCTATTGTGGATGCTTGTCAACATTTAGCCCCTCTTTTCCTGCAGGAGCTCTGTCCACCTCCAGCACCCAGAGGAGTAGTATCTGACATCATGTCACTCCCATCCTACAGAGAGTATCCTGCCCACCGTCCCTTCATCAGCACACTTGTGCATCACACACCCCATACACGCACATATCTTTCATGTCGACCACCATCACCCAGCAAGGCATTCCCAGAGACCAACTGTACAGGTAACTTTAATATGTATGTGTGTGTGTTGTTTTCCCTTTTACAAAGTTTCCATTCAGGTATTTCAGGGCTCCATGGTTACAGCATGTGTAACATGAAGCCACACTACTTGGATGTCTCAGTTGCACCGACATCTATTCATTCTTTCACGTGACCCTCCCTCTATCAATCCTACACTGCAATTCTTGCACCCAAACTTTAAAATAATATCTGACTACACCACAACTACTATACTCCTGCTCTGAATATGTTCAATATATCCCCATGTGCATCATATCCTGTTATATCTCCATGTGTAGAGATCCTATCTGGCCTGAGGAATCTCCAGGAGAAGATCAGGAGGTTGGAGTTGGAGAAAGGAGATGCAAAGCTCAGTCTGCACACTATGGGGAAAGAGGCATCGTCCACACGTCTGCAGAGTGATAAAGTCACACAGCAACTCTTGAAGGATCACACAGACACAAATAGAGAGAGAAATGGCAAGTCCAACTGCAATCAAGGTGGGTATATCAACAACATATTAAAATGGAAGGCTGCTGTGTGTTAATTCAATTAATGTATCTTTAAAGAATCATATTGTGATCAAATCATATATTGTTAAAATAATTCATTGTTAAAAAGCCCACTTGGAACCCACATGTTGGTTAAAAATAAATTCTGTGTAATGTTTTCCAACAGCAGAGGGCAGGATTTATTTTGAAAATACCCCAATGTAGGAAACTCAAACTATTGTTTTAGTATGATTTACTGCCATGCTTATACACAAACACAGTATATAGCTGGAAATATATATTTCTTTAAATTGGTGTTCGTTAAACTTAAAAGTGTTCTTATTTTTCTCTAAAGTTCTCATTTAAATGAGACAATACTCATAACTTTTCTCTTGGTCAGTGTTTTATTCAGACAGGAGCATACAGAAATATGCTTGACTTATATGATGATTTGATATATATTGAATTTCCAGAAAATGGGCTATATTATGATATAATCTGTTACTGAGATAGGAAATTACCTATATGGTTATAGAAGTTTTTGGCCATGTGGTCTAGGCTTAAACTGGTTTATATTTCCTCTTATTCCTTATTTCTTATGTCGTCTGAATGTTGTCCACAGCGTTGATCGCTCACCTGGCTGCAGCAGAGTCTCGCTGTGTGAAGCTGGAGCAACAGCTGGATCACATGAAGAAGATGCTGCGCAGCGCCAAGGCTGACGGGACCAGCCTGCTCAAACAGCAGGTTGACACAGTTCCTTGTATTCTTTGATATAAGATAAATCTTTAAAAAAAAAATGTGTACACAAACACACTAAAAACCCTCATCCTCAAATGCAGTATTCTTGAGTAAAAGCATCTTATGTGTATTGTGTTATGTACTGAATTTCTCTCTACATTTTCAGGTTCCCGTCGAGATAGCCAAGTCAGCTGATCCACATTGTGGCACAGAGTCCGAGCATGCCCAGTTAGAGAAGCTGGAGCGACTGGAGCAGGAGTATTTCAGGCTGACACGCACCCAAAACAATGCTTCGGTACGGAAAATCACACAGCTAAATGTTTCCTAGAGTATATCATTGGTTAACATTTCTATGTACAGGTAGATGGAACAGGTCCTGAAGTTTGCAGGTCTGCAAACAAATGAAAATAAAGCATTGATTATTGAAGGTTTTGCCAAAAGGCATACATTATTCAAGAATTTAGGCCCACTATTTGCAGGGAATGACAGGATGATGTTAAAAAGATAAAACAAATGCTTAAATCTAAAGGGGGCAGTGATGAATAAAATGTAATCTTAATTGTTGGTATTATTATGATTACCACAATAATGATTATTGCGTGTGTTTGATTACATCAGCGGAAAATTCGGAGGCTGGAAATGAAACTCCTGGAGGAGGAGCACCAGAGGAAGCTGGTCCAGGACAAGGCCAATCAGGTAACAAGGTCTTCATTTGTAATTTATCTTGAGCTGCCATTATTATAAACACTTTTTTACATTTTCTATGCCTGCTCTTTTGTTTGTATGTTCCTCAGCTACAGACAGGTTTGGAGACCAACAGGATACTGCTGCAGTCGGTGTCACCTCGCCTGTCTTCCAGTCAGTCAAAAGGGAAAAAGTCACATTCAAAGGTAAAGAACTAAATAGGAGGTTCAAGGCTTTCGAACTGTGTCCACTGAGAATGTTTTTTTTCTCTCGTTTTTGTAAATGTTTAAACAAATGTGAAAAGGCGGTTGAAATCAAGTGTTTATCTATATTGTGGGTTTATATATATAAAGGTTATATTGAATCAAATAGAAACAAATTGGGTGCATTTCTAAGGATATCCTGATACATTCTTAAAATGGTAAAAAGGAAGGAAACACTATTTTCTTTGTTTTTATTTCAATAAAAACATTTTTATTTGATATATATTATTTGGTCAGAAAACAAAAGTCTGTTGAATATTTAAATCAGTAAATGATTGAATAATTAGCTTTGATATATGTAGTGCTAATAAAACAATCCAGAGCTGCGTGCATACTTTATACTCCCAAATGTGCACTTCTTGTGGAACTTAATATTGTTTATGTCGATTTTCTCTTTCCAGAAATCTTCACCACAGCAGTCGTCTTTCACAGAGCCACACTATAGACTGAGCCTCAGGGATGTTCCTTTTGTTGCTGGAACGGTAGGTTGGGCACATTAGCCTGTTTTGTGGATAAAGCGTTGGTTACAAATGGATTTATTCAATGCTGCTCTCCCCTCACACTGGCTCTCTTCCTCCCATCTCCTTTCAGTCGGCCGGCTGCAGCCACTCGGTCCGAGCTAACGTCCAGTCCGTTTTGTCTCTCCTGAAGCGGCACCAGCCTCAGCTCTGCAACAGCCGTGTCCTCTCCAACAGCCGTGTGACGGGGAGTGGGAGGCATTCAGACAGCTCCTCCTCTTCCTCCTCTGGCAGTGGTGAAGAGCTGTCAGAGCTTCTTCAAGCACTGCACGAGGAGCTGCGACTTATGAGCGTGTGAGTGAACATATAAGATAATATACTTTATTGATCCCAAATTGGGGAAATGTTTCATTCCAGCAGCATGTAAAACAAGGCATTGCACATATTAGAAGTTAAAGTGGACCTATCATGCTATATTTGAATAATATAGTGTAGGACCATACCTATATAAGGCATATTTATACTTTTTATTTTTCAAAATACCAAACAGATCATGCATTTTAGCCATTCCTCATTTCGCTCAATTTAACACTGTCTTTTCATGGGCTGATTCTGTGAGAACAGCACCATCTACAGGCCATGAAAACACGAAGCATTTTTTTATAAACTTATCAAATAGGTGTTATAAACCATAATTAATTATTGTATCTAGGTGTGCGTTCGGTTGCCGATGTTAATTCATTACATAACGATTGTCATTTTACCAGTTAGAATGAATTCTCTTTGTAACTGTTACGTCTCTAGCTTTATAGACTACATAAGTTTCACTTTTACTTATGCGTAGATGTGTTTTCGATAAAAAAAGATACTGACGACGAGTTCTCGTAACCGACTCGGTTTTATGCGACGTTGACCAACTACTCAGGAAAGATATAAGTTAGTCGGTTAAGGAGGAAGAAAAATATTGGTTAGAGATAGACGAAAACTAACCAAAGGTAACCGTGGGAATTGGTCGAAAACAAAGTTGACAGCGAATCTGTCGCAGGTTGTACAAAAATTTTAATTATTATTTTAAAATTTTTTCCTGTGATCTTTCACTACGTTATAATAACCTAAATGTCAATACAGAATAAACTTTACAAAATCACCGATGTGATATTACGTCACCATTAATAAAGACAGAAAGATTACTATTGTATCCAAACGATCTCCCATATTTCGATTTGACATTCAGAACTTCTTTCATTAAGTAGTATTTTCCAAAAACCATTTAGTCGTCTTGTACACAAAATTTTAGGAATACTAAAATTAATACCAGACTTACACATGACTTCATTTACTACCACCAGTTACAATGGTCGTAGTTTCATTTTTTTCTGTTAAATACAGTTTCGTTTTCTCGGGTTGTCCCTGTGTCGTCCCATCGTCCAAGTTCCTTTGTTCCCTATTGACCTATATAGATACTTATTTTTCGTTTACACGATTCCGACAAAGGTTTTGTTCGGTCTTTGTTGTTGTTTTGTCATGACATTCTGTATACGTTTTGCAGCGTTATGAAGTATTTGAGTCTCTTTATGATAAAGTGAGTTTTATACTGGCGTACTAAAAAGGGTTTTTTATAATTTTAGAAGAAAACGTATTACATATTTATGACTTTTTGGTTTTTAGTATGGTGTATGTTGTACACACATTTGTAGTATTTCTCTCTGCTCGTTATTCATGTAGTCACATACATCCCAGGAAGTTTTGTGTCATCCGTAAGTTGTATGTCATTATACCTAATTTCGTAAAGTATTGAAAGAATGTTGCGATTCGACGACGTGTAAATACTACACATTGGTATATTTCGTTTGCGGCCTTAGAAAATTGTGGTTAATTAAAATTTTTTATATATGAATGAACTATGGGTTTAATCACCATTTAATCATAAGGTTCGGGGTTTTGTGATTGTTCTTTTTGCATTTTTTTTGACAAGTAGTAAAGATCCTATCACGTCGACATTGATATTGATCATTACGGGAGACGCCACTTCCTCCATTTAAATTTTTCTTTTGCCTACCATCGGTTTTACAAAAAATCGTCTGTACGAGGGTGTTACTTTGTTCTGTTGTGTTTTATCAAAAAAGACTCCATACAACATTTCTTAACATTTTACTTTCAATTTCGGGGGAGAAAAATAAAAAACCCTATTTTATGTGAAACCCACCTAGACCATATTGTTAGGCAGACCAAAATTTGGTCTGAAAAAAACCTTAGGACAACGTACAACGAGTTTGTCATTTTTTTTATATAAAAGGTTTCCTAGTATCAGATACAGGTACTTCCCTATAAGAAATCAACTATAGACAGGGTCCCTGACACACCTACCATTTTATGCTAGTTTCCAGTCATCTCATCGTGACTGTCCTAATCAAAACCCCAAAACACACCGAGGCAGGACGACTCACAGTTCCAGGTGTCCCTCCAGACGCTCGGGAGTACAGGGAGTCGTCGGAGTCCAACGAGACCGAGGAGAAGGTGACCAGAGTGACCGTTCGACTCGTGGAGACAACCTTTGGACAACCAGCAGGGAGAGGGGAGGCAAGGGGAGAGAAGAACGGACCTCACAATGCAAGAAAAAGAATTGAAAAAATAGATCTCCTCCTGCTCTTTTCCAGTTAATATATATTGTAGAATTCACGTAATCAAACGAACACCTTGACTTAACAAAAGCGAAATTCTGATGGACACAAAACACAAAACATCTCAACTGCTAGACGAGGAGTGAAAGAGAGGTAAAAGTCCTTCGTTCGGAGAAGGACGAGGGCCGCCCAAGAAAAGAAAGGATGCATCTTTGGAGGCGGAGGTGGACGGAGTAGTTTAGGAGGGACGGAAGAGACCGCCGTTTTTGTTTTACTATTGGTAACTTATATACGAGTAGTGAAAGGAATCTCGAGAGTATAGTTGGCGACCGACCGTTTCTCTTGATGTTGAGGGGTATCAACAGCAAACAATTGACCTGAATATTGGAACGTGTTTACTTTATACTGTATTACTGTTTGGAAATAAATAAGTCCACTTTTGGGTAACTCTAGTTAACTTGGAGAAAAAAGTTACCACATGGACGACGTTTCATCCAAGGTTGACTTATGTTTGTACTGGTCTTTTTGGTTTTCTTCCTGTCAGTATTACCGTATAAATGTAAACTTGATGTCAAACATATTCGATCAATCGTAAATTGGGCTAATGGTTGTCAAAGGCTAACCTTATCGTAGAATAGGAACGAAATTTTGTACAATTCCTTTGGTTCGACGAGTTGAAGGTAAAGGAAAACGCTGACAAGGTTTTATCGCCTCGAACGCGTAGATTTTCGGACATTAAGGGATTCTTGTCGGATCGTTCAACCGTTGTAAATTATTGTTGGTGTCGTTAAGCTCAGAGGTCCGTTCATCGTAAAATGTTAATGCTGGCACTCTTAAGTACCTCGTCTACATCCTACTTCAAAGGGATTCGTAAACGAAACATTTATTTTTCTATGGTCACTAACTCGGGTCGGCATTGTTCCAATCACTTTCGTTGACGAACGTATGCCCATGTTACCTCCCAAATTACGAAATGTCAAACAGTGTTTAGAGTCCACGTGACACTATCCGGGGTCGTAGATTGAAACTAGTCCATTAACCCGGCCAACGTAAGTTATATTTTGTCTAGTGGTATCAGCGTCGTGCCATTTTTCAGTGTCACTGATCGGAAAAGGACCGGAGCTTAGCTCTTTGTCCTGAACAAAGAACCATTTCTTTGGATCGGGACTTGGAGTCACAAAAAATCGTAAATAACTGTACGTCGCAAATTTTTCTCTCCTGTCAGTAGTTCGTCTTATGGTTCCATAAACATTTTTGTCCAAATTGTGATTGGGGGGGGGGGGGTGGGGGGGGGGGGTTTCAAAAAGGGAACGCATCAATGTTATAGATTTTGTCCGAGCCACAGAAAAAATCGAAAACTTTTCTCGTAATGGAACCCAAAATAGGTGTAAATTTCTTTGAAATCAAGTCTCTCACTCAGACTGTCACAAAATTTTGTCGGGACTTAAAATTGTTGGCGGAGGAATACCTCCATGACGTGTTTATGTAGTGCCATAGTAGTCGTAGTTTACCATTTCATCGAAGTTAGCTGTAATAGTTGGATTCGACAACTTATATATACCTCTATTTTCACTGATTTTGTCTTCGAACCACCATGTGGTAATCTTTACAAAATTGGTGAGTCTTACTTATCGGGAGTTTTACTTGTGTAACCCTTGAAAGTCTCTCCATCAAGTTTTGTGGGGGTGACGTTTACCGACCTATACGTTATTGACTCATCGCGAGGACGGAAATTTTCTACGCTACTACGTTGCCACAGTTTTGCGAAACCTGTCCAGTTATTTATCTCGACGTGTTTGAGACAATAATAGATTTTATGATCATTACAGTAAGTGGTGAAAGTAACAGGCGTCACTACCACGATACAAAAAAAGACTTCGGACTGCTACAAGCTCTGTCCTATAGTAAAATGTATTTTTGAGGAAATGAACGAAGTGAGTGATCAGGCAAGCTCCGTGAAATCGGTCTTGACTGTTAAATCCTCTAACCCGGATATCAAATTAAATTTTATCAACGAGGAAGGAAAGTCATTCCGTTCTTTGTATTCGTTCTGAAGGTATGAAAACCTTTAACAATTAAACACGACTCCCTCTCAATTTTCTCTTCATTCTCTACCTCGGTTATTTTAAGACGTTCGATAGAAATTTTTCTTTTTCCAAGTGAATTCAATTCCCAATGGAATTACATTTATTTATATGATTAATAATATGACACAATCGAACATTAAACGGGAAGTATAACAAAATAAACAGTCTATCAAATGTCTAAACATATGACGTGACCAGTTGAGACATATAAGAAAACAAGACTAGTTTAGATATTAACAAAATAAAAGATAAGAGAAATTTCCCCGGGGATACGTACGTTTTTTACGTGAAACATGCAGAAAAAATATGACTTATACCAGGAGTGGTTCACAGGTTCTTTTGTGTTGGGAGAGTTGAAAAGGAGGTATTGGTTTAGAGATTTTTCCCCGCGTTACCTAGACTATGTTCTTTGACTAGGTACTAAACTTGTGAAAAAATAAAGCAGTGTCTTCAACGCGATGCCGAATAACCCGGTTGAGGTGGTTAGCCTCCTCTGTCGGTGCCTGTTAACGGCAAAGCTTTCGCGACTTCTGCGACATCANATCGGGCATCATCACTCCATGATATACATAGCACGATGAGTGATGATTAAATAACTAACCCCCAAAACTGTGTGGAGATTAGATACTATCCCCCAAAACTGCGTAGCCCGAGCCTGACGCTGGTGATGTAAATCTGATAAGTAGAGGGCCTGGCGAGCTGCCATGTGGCCATTCCCCCTGATCACAGCGGCTTTAAGGGGAATATACTACTTAGTGAGACTGCTATGTGTAGGCCTGAGGAATATACTACCTAGTGACTGCTATGTGAAAGCCCGGGAACGCCCCAAAAGCCACCCACCCCCCCCAGCACAGCGGCTTTGAGGGGAATATACTATATATGCTACCTAATAAAACTGCTATGTGAAGGCCCGGGAACAGCCCGAAAAGCCATCCCCCTTAAGCACCGCGGCTTTGAGGGGAATATACTACTTAGAGAGACTGCTGTGTCTAGGTCTTTGAGGCAGCGACAATGACCTTTCCCCCCCACGCATGCAGCTACGAGGGGAATATACTATAATGAAATAAATATAATCTAACCCAGCAACCACCTGTTATGCAAAAACAGAATTCTACAGATATACATTTTTGAACGTTTACTCATCATCGAGTAATGCAAGAGTTCATGGTTGTTTGTGCTGAAAGGATCTCATTCCTGTGAAGCATGATATAGCGCTGGTGGGCAGAAGATGACCGACGGCCCAGGATACTCAGGGTTGAGGTAGGTGGATATAGAGCTGCGATTCATTCAAATGCTGTGCAGATTCTTAAACAGTGGGATTAGCGATCTGGGGGCAGATCGCAGTTTAGGCAGAGATCACGCAGCTTGGAGGAGAACCCTCGTCGTTGGGTTTGCAGCCATCGAATAAACATGGGTGCCGACCATAGACTGTATATATAAATGGATGTAGGGTCCGTGACGTCACCCATAGGATTCTGCAGAGTTGCCGAGAAGCCCTTAGGGCTTCTCGGCAACTCTGCAGAATCCTATGGGTGACGTCACGGACCCTACATCCATTTATATATACAGTCTATGGTCGGCACCCATGTTTATTCGATNGGACCCTACGTCCGTCTATGGTCTTTACATTAGCAAGCATAGCTAGCACTCAGAGCTAACGCTGTATTGGAGAGAATATGTGTAAAGAAGCAGGAAATAAAAGAAGAAAATGTGTTTTTCAAGGATGGTACGAATTTGTCTC